TATAAAAGTTTGTTCTTTTCTATCAAGACTGTGGCAATTCAATGTTTTCTCTTTCGATAAGAATTTTGACATTGAAAGCTTATTCTATATGGTTTATTTGATTGTTTTAAGTCTTGCATGAGTGGATCAAGGAACTCTTAAGAAAAGGTCAAACGAGAGGATATGAGAAATGTAGGTGCTTCAGTAGTCACGTGGGCATGGGAAAATGAGAATTTTGAGAAACTGTTATTTCACAAGTGTGTATCATAGCTGATGAATTTAGAACATTTTCTTTGATGAGAGGTGAATCGCATATCACCTGAACTGGCATCCCAACTGTGTATTTCCTAAGTTAAAGGACAAGGGCAAGCACATGATAAATATTTGTGGTGTTCTGGCATCAATGCCTCTGATGTTTTGAGTTTAAATACTCTGTAGCAATCACTATCAGCCTCGACATTGATTCTCTCAGGTTTTGATTTGTGCCACTGTTTAATGGTCCCTTTTATCCTTATCAGCCCAACGTGTTCACATTAATATCCATATTTTCTATTTCAGTTGTAGGCATTTGAAACAATCTCACTTTTAAAATATAAACTTTGTGACTTAGGGATCCTATATTCTTATTTTACTCAGGATATTTCCATCACATTGCTGTCCTAGGCAATGAAAAGGAGATGCCAAAAAGAACCCTCAAAACCTTATTTTCAGAGCCAGGCATGAGGACTCAGCTTGATACTAACACTGCATAAATGTTTGTTTGGCCCTGTCATACCTATATATAATTGATGACATGTCCTCTTTGCTTTGTAGGGCCTCCTGAATAACATCCTTCCTTGAAGGTTATTTTATATATATTTATTTTTAATTACTAACTTTATATTGTATAAAATATATATTATTTATTAGTTATTTTCTTTTAAAACCCATTCAGCCTACCACTGAAATGGAATATCCTGTTGTGAGAGAAGCAGTACAAACAAAGAATGTACAGACATTGAGAGCAGGTACATTTTCAATACAAATGGAATGCTGGAAATAAGTACATTAAATGATTGGAAGTTCTCACATTCTTCTTATCCCTAATTCTTTTTATTGTAAATTGAATGGAAGGCACTGACATAAATGTTATTGTTGGTATCCATATTTCAATAAAAATAAATTTAGGAGTATAGGAAAACAAGATTTTAAAAATATGAGTTTTAACTCAGATGTTTCTATTTTAATATTTTGAATAGCATAACATTTCCAGTATAGAATTTTTATACTTGTCAGGGATTCAAAGCAGTGAATTTTGAGACTCTGAGATATTTCCAGTGTCTTATATGCTAGGTGGAGTTCTGATATTTACTTAAAGGAATGCTTTACTTAGATGTCAGTTTCTGTATTAACGTTAGCGACTTCCTGTTAATGTTATTACACTGATGATCTGAAGCCAATGAGATGTTCTAATGAGCAGACTATGTCTGCATGTGTGTGTATGGGTGTGTTTGTAGAATCTTTGATTATTAAAAACTAGGAAAGTAATCATTCATTCATAACTGGAAGACAATCTTTTAAGTGGTTTTGAGATATTTTGGTATAAAATTTTTTTTAAAAATGATTGCATAGAGGCAACTAACGTCATGAATATCAGTGAGGCTACCAACATGATTGGCTGTTTTCCATCTCAAAACCATTTTGAAATCCTTAACTATATTGCAGTGCTCAGAAATAACATGCAGAATTTTTATTTGTGTCCTAAAATGGAAGGTGAGTGGTTCTACGCTTTACATATCTTTCTGCCACTTTCTTTTGTGTACTTTGTATTCTATTTTCCAGATGTATCTACATTGATACATTGGATCTGGTTTAATTCATTTTACCCTTTTTATTGTATTCCCTTACGCCACTCTACCACATTTAATTAGACTCTCCTGTTGCTGATAAATGAAGAAAAAAGAAAAAAGAAAAAAATAGGCTGGGCGTGGTGGCTCACACCTGTAATCCTAGCACTTTAGGAGGCTGAGGAGAGTGGTTTACGAGGTCAGGAGATTTGAGACCATCCTGGCCAACATGGTGAAACCACATCTCTATGAAAATATTAAAAATTAGTTGGGCGTGGTGGCGCATGCCTGTAGTCCCACCTATTTGGGAGGCTGAGACACAGAAATCGCTTGAACCCAGGAGGCGGAGGCTGCAGTTAGCCAAAATTGCACCACTGCACTCCAGTCTGGCAGCAGAGCAAGACTCTCTCTCAAACAAAAAAGGAAAAGGAAAATAATGTAAGATTAAAAGGGCCTTTTGTTTAATCAATTTGTATCTGTGAATATTTACTATATGAGAGTTTAAGGCTGAGAAGTTCAGAATGCAAGCATGCACCACCATATTTTACAAATGCCCTTAGAATTATGACTCATGAGCCTTTAGTCTATGAAGTTATGACAATTCATTTCTCTAAAGTTTACTGTTCTCTTAAAAAAAAAAAAAAAAAAAGGACTGAAAATAGCAAATGACATTGTCTTATTTGACCTCTTAGACATCCTCAAATGAAACTGCAACTTCCTTATGTCAAAATTCAGAACCAACGTTTTGAACAATATGTATATTTTGAGTAAGCCCTTGATTACAAAATGGCCTTTCAAGTTTTACTTTTGCATTTTTTTCTCTTTTTCTTGACTTGTCTTACAAAAGCTTAAATTCAACAGTTTTATTTCTATGGAAAGCAGTAATATAATTTTTAAATATATTTCTGTTCTGTCTTATGGCATTGTGAACTCTTCACATCTAGTGTGGACCTAGACTTATTTTTACATGAGAACAATTAGGTTTGTTTCTTTCTTGTTATTGTTGAGACAATCTTGTTCTGTGATGTGGTTCAGAGTAGATAAGCTCTTAAAGCAGTCATCTTTCCAGTGGTTCTTTCTGTGGGAGGTAAAATGGCAGGTGAATTTGGGCCTTGTTATATGTAGAGCAGAGCACATGGCTACAACTAAGTAAAACACCCAGCACCTTCCCCAAGAGTATTGGCCAGAGCAACACAGTATCTCTTGGGCTCTTCTCCACTGGCAGCTGGAAAGTTTTTACAAGAATCCGTTTCTGGTCTGATTCCTATGTTTTGCTGACTTCTGGTGATAGGGTGTTTTATCCTAAACTGAATAGTTTTAACTGAAGAGCTAGAGAGAATGTGTTGTGTTACAATGAAGTAAGTGCAGTAGTTCCCCCTTAACTGTGGGAGGCATTCGAAGGCCCCCAGTGAATACCTGAAAGCACAAATAGTACTGAATCACTTTTTTTCCCTATACATACGTATCTATGTTAAAGTTTAATTTATAAATTAGGCACAGTAAGAAATTAACAACTAAATATACAATGGAAAATTATAGTAATATGCTGTAATAAAAGTTATTTGAATGTAGTCTCTTAAAATATATGGTATGGTTCTCACCCTTTTTCCTGTGATGAACTGATACAATGCCTGTGTAATGAGATGAAGTGAGGTGAATGGGGCATTGTCATGTAGTGTTAGGCCACTATTCACCCCCTGACTCTAAGTAAGAAAAAAGATCATCAGCTTTGAGTGTTTCTGGACCTTCAGGCCCTAATGATGTTGATGGCTGGATGCAGGAAGAGACCATGTTGATGACTAATGGCTGGACAGCACATGCAGTGTGAACGCACTGGACAAAGGAATGATTCACATCCTGGGATGTATAGAGGGCAAGAGATCAAGATTTTATTGTGCTCCTCAGATCGGTACACTAACACTTATGACTTATTTCTGGAGTTTTGAATGTAATATATTTGGAATACAGTTAACTGTTGTTAGTAGCTGTAACCACATAATTCAAAACTACGGATGTAAAATCTGTTTGAACTTTGACTCATTTCTTGGTGTACAATTCTTAAACTCCTTAGAATTTCCAAAGTGATGTCTTTTGGTATGCTAATAATTGACGGCTGGAAGCTCCTAGGTAGATTCAGGATGGGAACTGGTCACCATCCTGAAGACATGGCTGATTAGAGGGTTGAGATCTTCTGTCTCACTCTGCAAACTCTGGGGAGGAGAGAAGGGCTGAAGGTTGTCAGTCACCAACAATCAGTGATTAATTAGTGATGCCTATGTATTGAAGCTTGCATAAAGTCCTAAAGGGACTGGGCTGGAGAGCTTCCAGATCCATGTATACATGGAGGTTCCTAGAGGGTGGTGTGTTCTGAGAGGGCATGAAATCTCTGTGCCACTAGGCTCATACTTTGCACTATGCATCTCTTCATCTGTATCTTTTGTAATGTCATTCATAGTATACTGGTTAAGTGTGTTTTCCTGAGTATTTGGAGCCATTCCAGCAATTCAATTTAACCCAAAGAGGGAGTCCTGGGAACCCCAATTTGAAGCCGATTGGTGAGAAGTTCTGGAGTTTCAGACTTAGGACTGATGTAGGGAGGCAGACTCGTGGGACTGAACCCTTTACCTGTGGAATCTGATGCTATCTGCAGATAGAGTATGAGAACTGAATTAGAGGACACACAGCTTGTGTAATCTGCAAGTGATTGCTTGCTTGTTGGTGGGGAAAAACCTCTCCACACGTTTGGTCACAGACAGAAGCCTTCTTTGTTGATGATTGTTGCTGTGGTGTGAGAGCAGAGAAAAACATGGCAAGTGTGTCTTTTCCACACATATAGTGGATAAGGGGTACTACTGTTTGCTCCCCTCATATTTTGGTCCAGAAATCATGCTGTTTGACACTGGTCACTCATTCCATCTGTTCTGCTAACAATACCATTTTTAGCCAATTTCATAGGGTTTCGCTAGGATGACTTGTATACTGCAGTTCACTTGTACATATTAAATTTTGATAAATTTATTCCTTGCATTTAATAAATACAAAGGGAAGAGTTCTTACTGCATTAATTACATACCAGTAGGAATAATTTATATTAATTCTAATAAGGCCCAGGTATTCTCCCAAAGGAATGCTTTGTAACAAAGCATCAGTCCTATAAAGAAAAATGATCTAAATCATGTATACAACTGTGCATACTTTTTTTTTTTTTTTTAATGAAGGCAGAGTCTCGCTATGTTTCCTAAACTGGTCTCAAACTTCTGGGTTTCTCAAGTGATCCTCCTTTCTCGGCCTCCAAATAGTTGAAATTAAAGGCATGTATGGCTATACTTTCTTTTGGTTTTAATAATCTACACATTCTTTAAAATGCATTTTACCTTTTCCTTTAATAGATTCCAGGAGTTCTGAAGAATCTGCAGTCAGGTAGGATTTTACAGATTTAAAAAATTATATTAACTAAGAAAATATAGATGAAAGAAACTAATATCTATTGAGTGTTGTATTCTGGGCTAAATACCCTATTGTGTGCTATGCATTTATCTCATAAAGCCATCACAACTTGTGTTTTCTTATAACCTACTATTTATTAAATAGGCAGCTGTGGTTTAGAGAGGTTGATTAATTGGATCATGATCCCATAGTTGACAAAGCAGCTGACCCACAGTTTGACCGCCAGCCTATCTGGCTTTCAAATCTTTTCTTTTGCTCCTGAGTACAGATTGATAGAGATATCTGTGCAGCACTTTGATCAAGGTATAGGTCTGAATAAGAGTACTCAGATTGTTTTAATTAATGTTTAAATTAATGAGTCTAAATAAGTTAAGCTCTCATTTTAGGTTACTGTTAGAAATGAGGTTAGTCCTTGATTTTGTCTTAATAAATCTGACAATTTTTGTGGTAACCAGCATCTTTTTTTAAAAAATTAACCATCAAAGTCTTTAGGGCAGGGTAAAGGTTTGGCCATAGGACTGGAAGTTTTACAAAACCAAGATTTGACAAGTCTTGGAGAGAAATTACTTAACTTCCCAGTTTTGTTTTCCCTTTAGGCTAGTATTTCTGCCTATTTCCATAATGCTTTTTAAATTTTTTTCTTTTTCTATGACTTTTCTTCCTTGGTGTTTCGTTATGTTTTCAAATTCTGCTGGCTATGTATTCCCAATTTTCCTATAGACAGAACCAAAAGCACATAGAATTACAAAAATTTAAGGAATCTTAGGACTAATTAAAATATCTTTTAGTACTTCAATCTGTGTTAATGTTATGGTCAAATGATATTCTAGATAGAGAACTTGAGAATCAAAGAGATTAGGATGCTTTTTTTCAGACATAAGACATGGTAGAAATGAGATTTGAACTCGTTTTAAAGCCCAATACTCTTCCTTCTTTTTTTATTCTATTGGCATGTTTTTTTTGTTTTTGTTTTTGTTTTTTTGAGTCAGAGTTTCACTCCTGTTGCCCGACTGGAGTGCAATAGCACGATCTCAGCTCACCGCAACCTTTGCCTCCTGGGTTCAAGCGATTTTTCTGCCTCAGCCTCCTGAGTATCTGGGATTAAAAGCATGCACCACCATGCCCAGAAAATTACATATTTTTAGTAGAGACAGGGTTTCTCGATGTTGGTCAGGCTGGTCTCGAATGCCTGACCTCAGGTGATCTGCCCGCCTTGGCCTCCCAAAGTGCTGGGATTACAGGTGTGAGCCACCACGCTTGGCCTTGCATGTGTTTTAATAATACAAAGGGGGAGTGAGTCTGGTGCACTCAGTGGATAGAATGAGAATGGAATTAGCTGGTGAACCCAATGGATATGGCTAAGAATGGAATGAGCAGGGAAGGCAAAGTTTGAGGAGAAACGACACTGAATACGGGTTATTCAATAAGAGATTAGAATATTGGGGTTTATGACAAGTTGATAAAAAGATGAAGGACACAAGATATTGGGCGTTATCTAAAAAGACACATTAAAATAGAGGGTTCGAGGAAGCTCTAAACAGACTGCTGTGCTTTTTAAATCAAGAACTAACAAACTTGAAGATTTTTGCTGTAAGATGCTAAAACATTTGGAGACACTGGGAGGAGTCTCTACAGCAGACAGAAATGTGGTATCATCTAATTCCATCCTGACTTGCAGACGGTGGCTTAGAGCCCCTTGGGTACTGATGGACTGGAGATAGCTGAACTACATAGATCTGTGGCCCAGGGCAGGTATCTCCTCATCTCTGCCTCTTTTCCCAATTCACTGATGTCCTTCCCATATGCAGGTAGGCTGGGTCAGGGGCATCATTGGCTGTCAAATCAGTCATGAGGTTCAGCTGGGTAGTTGGAGGTATGTCTGTGCTGGTAGTTAGTAGATACTCCAGTTAGGTTGTTATTCAAGAGAAGGGATATGGAGCACTCCCACTCCTGGTCATTTGAGGCCATCCTTTCAGGAATCTGCTTTAGTAGATAGATTTGAAGATTGGAAACAGCCATGGAGGCCTGCATAAGTGGAATCTGGAAGTAGGAAACCATAGAAAGATATTTAGATAGTACTTGGGGAAATAGGGGTACAACTGCCAGGACTCTGTTTTTCCATCAGTCTCTCTCGTTGGATATCTGAGTGCCTATGAAGGTTTTTAAGGGCTTACTAGTTTATGTGGACATGAATAAGGTAGGACCTATAGAGTGAAAATAATTAGGTTTTTATAATTGTTAATGTTTTAATCTTTCTGGGAAGAGTATCCTAAATAAGAAAATGCATCTTCATTATTAGACTTTTGTACATTTAGCTCTCACACATTTCAAATACAGCAGGGGATTCTCTGTACTCTTTTAGGACAAAGGAAAGTATTGGGACCTTCTTAAGTGGTTTCTATGCTGAGGAATCAAGACTCTATGAAGCAACACAGATTAGTCTTTTAATCAGAGATGGACAAGAGACAATGGATCTTTCTACCTTGTTTTAGGTCGTAAGTTTCCTTCCATTTTAGGTGACAAAAGTTATGTCATCCATTAATTGAATTTCACGTTCTGCTTCAGGACAGATAACTTGTGAGGGTAAATTACTGTCAAGCTCTGCCAATATATTGGCTGTAACTGTTATGGAGCTCAAGGTCAGTTTTTGTTGAATATTTTATAGATTTAGACAGCTGGAGGCAAAAATAGGTAACCAAAATCTATTTTTAGAACAGAGGCTATATATTTTAATTGTATCAATAAATGTTACTTAATATACAGAAGGCTGACCTTTTCCCAGACTGTGTTTTTGTTTGTTGGAGGGGGAAACTGAATGTGAACTGGCAGTTAAAAAATTAAAAAATACATACATGTATATATATATATATATATATATATATATATATATCTCAACTTGCTCATTTTTATTGTATATTTTTGCTCTAAAGCATTTTGTAGGAACTGTGTGTGGATTCATGCCCTAAACCAGATGATGAAGACTTGAGTGTTACTACCAAGGTAAAGTGGTCTCTTGTAAAACTTTCTCACTGAGTCAACTTCTGCATAGTATTTACTTTAAAATTTAGCAGTGGTTTACCTATTATTGTTTTATGATGGTTATGGAAAGTTGGTCAGAGAAAACCAGAGACATGGCTAGTTGATTAAAAATTTTTATTTAATGTTGGTAACTAACAAAAGATTGGTAAGTACTGTGACAGGGTGCTGAACCAAAATGAACTGGAAGATACATAGCAACAGAAAAATCACCTTAGGAAATGCTTTCCCCAATAGAGAAAATATGAAATTTGATTCAGGTGTAATTAGATAAATATTTTGACTTTTAAATCAAACTAGTGTGACATCTGTATTTTTGCCAGTATAAATCTCCAGTGGGTCGAATTACTTGTGGTTATCATGGAACCTCCCTGGCACCTTTTAGTTGAAAAACTGTACAACAAATAGCATATAGCTGTTTTTCTTGGACACTTATTATTTGGGTATTATATACTTGGTAGGAGAGATTGTTCCTCTACTTACTGGTTCTGTAGTGAAACTAAAATATTAAAAACTGTAGAAAAAATAGCTGGGTGTGGTGATATACACCTATAGTCCCAGCTACTTGGCAGTTTGAGAACAACCTGGGTAGCCTAACAAGACTGCATCCGATTTATTTTTTTAAATTATACCAAGTTCTGGAGTACATATGCAGAACGTGCACGTTTCTTACATAGCTATACACGTGCTATGGTGTTTTGCTGCATCCTTCCCCGTCATCTACATTACATACTTCTTCTAATGTTATCCCTCCCCAATCCCCCCACCCCCTGCTATCCCTCCCTTACCTCCCTCTCCTCTTGACAGGCCCTGGTGTGTGATGTTCCCCTCCCTGTGTCCCTGTGTTCTTATCATTCAACAGCCACTTATGAGTGAGAACATGCAGTGTTGGGTTTTCTGTTCTTGTTTTCTGAGAATGATGGTTTCCAGTTTCATCCATGTCCCTGCAAAGGACATGAAGTTGTCCTTTTTTATGGCTGCATAGTATTCCATGATGTGTATGTGCCACACTTTCTTTATCCAGTCTATCATTGATCGGCATTTGGGTTAGTTCCAAGTCTTTGCTATTGTAAACAGTACTGTAATAAACATATGCGTGCATGTGTCTTTATAACAGAATGATTTATAAACCTTTGGGTATATACCCAGCAATGGGATAGCTGGATCAAATGGTATTTCTAGTTCTATATCCTTGAGGAGTGGCCAACACTGTCTGCAACAGTGGCTGAACTAATTTACACTCCTGCAGTGTAAATGTGTTCCTATTTCTCCACATCCTCTCCAGCTTCTGTTGTCTCCTGATTTTTTAAATGATCGTCAGCTAACTGGCAACTCAATGTGATTTTAATGTGCGTTTCTCTAATGATCAGTTATGATGAGCTTTTTTTCCTGTTTGTTGGCTGCATAAATGTCTTCTTTTGAGAAGCATCTGTTCATAGCCTTTGCCCACTTTTTGATGGGTTTGATTTTCTTGTAAATTTGTTTAATTTCTTTCTAGATTCTGGATATTAGCCCTTTGTCAGATGGGTAGATTGCAAAAAAATTTTTCCCATTCTGTTGGTTGCTGGTTCACGCTAATGATTGTTTCTTTTGCTGTGCAGAAGCTCTTAAGTTTAATTAGATCCCACTTGTCTATTTTGGCTTTTGTTGCCAATGCTTTTAGTGTTTTACTCATGAAGTCCTTGCCTACACCTATGTCCTGAATGGTATTGCCTAGGTTTTCTTCTAGGGTTTGTATGATGTTAGATCTTATGTTTAAATCTTTAATCCATCTGGAGTTAATCTGTGTATAAGGTGTAAGGAAGGGATACAGTTTCAGCTTTCTGTAGATGGCTAGACAGTTTTCCTAACACCATTTATTAAATAGGGAATCCTTTCCCCATTGCTTGTTTTTGTCAGGTTTGTCAAAGATCAGAGGGTTGCAGACATGTGGCATTGCTCCAGGGCCTCTGTTCTGTTCCATTGGTCTGTATCTCTTGTTTTGCTATCAGTACCATGGTTTTGATTACTGTAGTCTTGTAGTATAGTTTGAAGACAGGTAGCATGAAGCCTCTAGATTTTTGTTTTTTGTTTTTTGTTTTTTTTTTGCTTAGGATTGTCTTGGTTATATGGGATCTCTTATGGTTCCATATGAAGTTTAAGGTAGTTTTTTCCAATTTTGTGAAGAAAGTCAATGGTAGCTTGATGGCGTAGCACTGAATGTATCAATTATTTTGGGCAGTATGGGCATTTTCACAATATTGATTCTTTCTAACCATGACCATGGAATGTTTTTACATCTGTTTGTGTCTTCTCATTTCCTTGAGCAATGGTTTGTAGTTCTCCTTCAAGAGGTCCTTTCATCCCTTGTTAGATGTATTCCTAGATATTTTACTCTTTCTAGCAATTGTGAATGGGAGTTCACTCATGATTTGGCTGTTACTGGTGTATAGGAATGCTTGTGACTTTTGCACATTGTGTATTCTTGGACTTTGCTGAATTTGCTTGATCAGCTTAAGGAGATTTTGGGCTGAGATGATGAGGTCTTCTAAATGTACAATCATGTCATCTGCAAATCGAGAGACAATTTGACTTCCTCTTTTCCTAGTTGAATACCCTTGCTTTTTCTTGCCTGATTGCCCTGACTAGAACTTCCAACACTATGTTGAGTAGGAGTGGTGAGAGAGGACATCCTTGTCTTGTGCTGGTTTTCAAAGGGAATGCTTCCAGTTTTTGCTTATACAGTATGTTATTGTCTGTGAGTTTATCATAAATAGTTCTTATTTTGAGATATGTTCCATCAACGCCTAGTTTATTGCATAAAGGGATGTTGAATTTTGTCAAAGGTGTTCTCTGCATCTATTGAAATAATCATGTGCCTTTTGTCTTGGTTCTGTTTATGTAATGAATTATGTTTATAGATTTGTGTATGTTGAACCAGCCTTGCACTTCAGGGATGAAGCTGACTTGGTCACGATGGTTAAGCTTCTTGATGTGCTGCTGGATTTGGTTTGCCAGTGTTTTATTGAGGATTTTACCATCAATGTTGATCATGGATATCGGCCTGAAATTTTCTTTTTAGTTGTGTCTCTGGCAGGTTTTGGTATCAGGATGATGTTGGTCTCATAAAGTGAGTTAGGTAGGATTCCCTCTCTTTTTGTATTGTTTGGAATAGTTTCAGAAGGAATGGTACCAGCTCTGTAGTAACATTTGGCGGTGAACCCGTTTGGTCCTGGACTTCTGTTTGGTGGGCTACTAATTGCTGCTTAATTTCAGACCTTGTTATTGGTCTATTCAGGGATTTAACTTCTTCCTGGTTTAGTTTTGGGGGTTGTTCATGTCCAGGAATTTATACATACCATACAGATTTACTGGTTTATTTGCAAGAGGTTTATGTAGTCATCTCTGATGGCAGTTTGTATTCTGTCGGATCTGTGGTGATTTTCCGTTTATCACTTTTTATTGCATCTATTCTTCTCTTTTCCTTTTAATTAGTCTGGCTAGTGGTCTATTTGTTGATCTTTTCAAAAAACCAGCTCCTGGATTCATTGATTTTTTTGAAGGGTTTTTTGTGTCTCTATCTATCTCCTTCAGTTTTGCTCTGAACTTATTTCTTGTCTTAGCTTTTGAATTATTTTGATCTTGCTCCTCTAGTTCTTTTAATTGTGACAACAGGGTGTTGATTTTAGATCTTTCCTCGCTTCTCATGTGGGCATTTAGTGCTATAAATTTCCCTGAAGACACTACTTTAAATGTGTCCCAGAGATTCTGGAACATTGTGCCTTCGTTCTAATTTCAAAGAACACCTTTATTTCTGCTTTCATTTCATTATTTATCCAGTAGTCATTCAGAAGCAAGTTGTTCAGTTTCCATGTAGTTGTGTGGTTTTGACTGTTTTTCTTAATCCTGAGCTATAATTTGATTGCGCTGTAGTCTGAGACTAGTTGTTATGATTTCTGTTCTTTTGCATTTGCTGAGGATTTACTTCCAATTATGTGGTCCACTTCTGAGTAAGTGAGATGTGTTGCTGAAAAAAATGTATAGTCTGTGGCTCTGGGGTGGAGAGTTCTGTAGATGTCTATTAGGTCCAATTAGTTCAGATCTGAGTTCAAGTCTTGGATATCCTAAATTTTCTGTTTCATTGATCTAACACTGACAGTGGGGTGTTAACGTCTCCCACTATTGTTGTGTGGGAGTCTAAGTCACTTTGTAGTTCATTGAGAACTTGCTTTATATGTATCTGGGTGCTCCTGTATTGGGTGCATAATATTTAGGATACTTAGCTCTTCCTGTTGCATTGATCCCTTTACCATTATGTAATGTCCTCCTTGGTCTCTTTTGATCTTTGTTGAAAGTCTGTTCTATCAGAGACTAGGATTGCACCTCTTGCTTTTTTTTTTTTTTTTTTTTTTTTTTTTTTTTTTTTTTTTTTTTTTTTTTTTTTTTTTTTTTTTTTTTTTGCTCTCCATTTCCTTGGTAAATCTTCCTCCATTCCTTTATTTTGAGCCTATGTGTGTCTCTGCATGTGAGATGGGTCTCCTGAATACAGCGTACCGATTGGTCTTGACTCTATCCAATTTGCCAGTCTATGTCTTTTGAGTGGGGCATTTAGCCCATTTACATTTAAGGTTAAATTAATATTATTATGTGCAAATTTCATTCTGCCATTTTGATGCTAGCTCATCATTTTGCCCGTTAGTTGATGCAGTTTCTTAATAGTGTCTATGGCCTTTACAATTTGGTATGTTTTTGCAGTCGCAAGTACTGGTTATTCCTTTACACGTTTGGTGGTTCCTTCAGAAGCTCTTGTAAGGCGGGCCTGGTGGTGATGAAATCTCTCAGCAGTTGCTGATCTATAAAGGATTTTATTTCTTCTTCACTTATGAAGCTTAGTTTGGCTGGATATGAAATTCTGGATTGAAAATTCTTTTCTTTAAAGATGTTGCATATTGGCCCCCACTCTCTTCTGGCTTGTAGAATTTCGGCCGAGACCTGCTGTGAGTCTGATGTGCTTCTCTTTGTGGGTAACCTGACGTATATCTCTGGCTGCCTTTAGCATTTTTTCCTTCATTTCAACCCTGGTGAATCTGGCGATTATGTGCCTTGGGGTTGCTCTCCTGGAGGTATCTCTTTGCCATGTTCTATTATTTCTTGAATTTGAATGTTGGCCTGCCTTGCTAGGTTAAGGAAATTCTGGAAAATATCCTGAAGAGTGTTTTCCAACTAGGTTTTATTCTCTCTCTCACATTTAGGTACACTGATTGATTAATCACAGATTTGGTCTTTTCACATAATCCCACATTTCTTGGAGGCTTTGTTCATTTCTTTTCAGTCTTTTTTCTCTAATCTTGCCTTCTTGCTTTATTTCACTGAGTTGATTTCAATCTCTGATATCCTTTCTTCAACCTGATCGATTTGGTATTGAAACTTGTGTTTGCTTCATGAAGTTCTTGTGCTGTTTGGCCTGCACCAGCATCCTGTACCAGCAGCGATGGGTAAAACCCAGCCCAATGACGGCATCTCTGCTGTGTGAAGCTCACTTCACAGGAAGGAAAGGGCATAGCCTCCTGGTTCCCAAGCACTGCAAGAGGTGATATTCAAAACAGATAATCTGACAAGGTCATCACCCAACAGGCAGAGGCCTAGGGACCCCTGCAGTGCCAGAAATTAATTAAGTCTTTAATTTCCAGATCACAGAGAGCTCCTGAGAGTCCACTATAAAAGGTACCTGGGGCACTGGCTGTTTCCACGGTAATAAGGAAGTATTTCAATATATGAACAACTAGGGAACTGAGTTCTGCCAACAACCAGGTGAGCTTTGAGGTGGCCCTTTCCCAGGTGAGTCTTCAGATGAGACCCCAGCCCTGGCAGATGACTTGGCTGCAGACTTAAGGACCCTGATAAAATAATAATGGGACAGGATAGCTGTGTATCTGCCCCAATTCCAGGAAGAATCCACCCAGCATCAACAATAATCACCAGAACATCAACAATGACAGCCAACATCTGTCAAGGGCACTTGGACACTGTGCTGTGTTGAAACAGATCCTGTCTTTTCTAGTTCACAATACCTCAGTGATAATGACTACTACAGCCCCCACTCTGCACTGGCTGCCTGATTCTTTGGTGCCAGGAGAGAAAGCAGTACAATTTAAGGCACCAAAGGGCTGATCCCCAGAAGAGGTGGGAGAGGACCCAGAATGGAAGATACAAAAGGGATGAATATGCAGCCAGCATCACGGTCACGGAGACTATGGGAACATGCTCAGGTAACACGAATAAAAGCAGAACTCAAAAATGCAGGGTCTCACAGAAACAGCCACAGGGAGACATGGACATGCCTGGAAGGGACGCAGGGAGGCAATCTGCGCCAGGGATTCTCAGTCTTGGTTGCAAGTGAATCACAGGGGGCTTTAATAAATAAGCAGGTGGCAGTCGGGCATGGTGGCTCATGCCTGTAATCCTAGCACTTTTGAGGCCAAGGTGGGCAGATCACTTGAGGCCAGGAGTTCTAGACCAGCCTAGGCAACATGGCAGGCTAAGGCATTTGTGCCAGGATGGAAACCAGTGCCTTCTGCTTCCTGCATTAAGAAAGCCTTGTAAGAAAAAAGTGAGCTGAGTTGAATGGCAAGCTTGGTGCCATAGTTGATCTCCATTGTGGTGCTGCCTCCTCATATCACCAACTGGTCACAAAGTGTAGACTGTCAGTGTCCCATGGACCACATGTCAAGTGTGGTTAAACCACAGATATGGCATTGGTTTAAACACTTAAAATTTAGTTATTTTGGGCTGGGTATGGTGGCTTACACCGGTAATCCCAGCACTTTGGAAGTCCAAGATAAGTGAATCACTTGAGGCCAGGAGCTCCAGACCAGTCTGGCCAACCTAGCAAAACCCTGTCTTTACTTAAAAAAATTAGCTGGGCATGGTGATGCATGTCTATAATCTCAGCTACTACTCAGGAGGGCGAGTCATGAGAATCCTTTGAAACTGGGAGGCAGAGGTTGCAGTGAGCCAAAATTGAACCACTGCACTCTAACCTGGGCAACAGAGCCAGATCCTGTCTCAATTAAAAAAAAGAATTTTTTGAAGTATACTTACTTTATTTTCTTTCCCCACTAGAATGTGAGCTCCAGGTGGGCTGCTGTATCCTCAGTACATAAAACAATGCACAGCAGGTGCTGAACAAATACTTGTCACCTACTGTAGGAAAAAAAAAATCAAATCATAAAGATATAAGAGTATAGTCTTCTCTTCCATCAATTCCTCTCCTCCAAAGTGAAAGTTTTGTGCATGCTTTTAGAAGAAAATGTACAAGCATATAGTTTTTAAAAAATATTTTGACAGATTTAAATGGGATCATACTGTACAGAGTTCTCTTTGTGTAGTTAATAGTACATCATCTGGGTTCATTCTGATCTGGTTTTTCTTTTTTTTTTTTTTTTTTTTTTTTTTAGTTTCGGTTTTGAAATAGGGTCATGCTCTGTCCCCCAGGCTGGAGTACAGTAGTGTGATCACAGATCACTACAGACTCAAACTACTGGGCTCACGCAATCCTCCTGCTTTAGCTTTCCAAGTAGCTGGGACTGCAGGTACACCGCTACCATGCCTGGCTTGCTTCATTTGTGTTCATGATGCATGCTTGTCTGGCATGTGGATATGCCCTGCTGGCATTACCATTCTCCCATTCATTGCAAAAACAGATTGTTCCCTGTTTTTTACTATCATGATCCATGCTACACTGAGTGTTCTGCTGCCTGTCCTGGGGTATGGTGACAGGTCTATCCCTGCCTAGCTGGCTTTGAAAAGTTTAAAGACAACAGTGTAGGCTGGGCACAGTGACTCACACCTGTTATCCCAGAACTTTGGGAGGCAAAGGCGGGGGTAGATCACCTGAGATCAGGAGTTCAAGACGAGCCTGACCAAAATGATGAAAACTTGTCTCTTCTAAAAACACAAAATTAGCTAGGTGTGGTGGCTCATGTCTGTAATCGCAGCTACAGAATTGTAACTAGTTCTCCTAGATAGCTTAATATATTTTGTTGGTTGACTGACGACTGATGGATTGATCGATGGACTCTCACTCTCTCCTAGGCTGGAGTGCCACGGTGTGATCTTGGCTCACTGCATCCTCTGCCTCCTGGGTTAAAGCAATTCTTCCACCTTAGCCTTTTAATCCCAGTAGCTGGGATTACAGCAACACCACACCCGGCTAATTTAAAAAATATTTTTAGAGATGCTGTTTCACCATATTGGCCAGGCTGGTCTCAAACTCCTGACCTCAGGTGATCCCACTTGCCTCAGCCTCCCAAAGTGCTGGGATTATAGGCGTGAGCCACTGTGTTGGCCGATAGCTTGTTACTATAAAACATGGCTTTCTGGGCCCCACTCAGATTTTCAGTTTAGTAGGTCTGGGTGGGGCCTGAGTATCTGCATTCCTAACACATCCCCAGGTACTGCTGCTGCTGGTTCAGGTCGACATGTAGAGACACACTGGAGTTGATCCTCAACACTCAAAGTGTGGTCCATGGACCAGCAGCCATGGCATCACCTGGTGCTTATCAACAGTGCAGAATTTTAGGCCTCTGCCCAGATCCACTGAAACAGAATCTGAATTGTAACTAGTTCTCTAAGTGGTGTGTATGGACATTAAAGTTCAAGAGACACTGGAAGAAAGCAGGAGTAAAGACACTTTTTCTGGAAAACTTTCAGCATTCCGGGCCATATGGTCTTTGTCACAAATACCTGTCTCTTCCTGTGTAATGGAAAAGCAGCCTTAGATAATATGGAAATCGATGGGTGTGACTGTGTTCCTGTAAAAATGTATTTAGAAACACTAAAATTTAAATTTTACAGAATTTGCATCTGCCATGTAATATTATTGTGATTTTTTTTTCACCGTTAAAAATATGAAATCTGGCTGGGCGCCATGGCTCAGGCCTGTAATCTCAGCACTTTGAGAGGCTGAGGCGGGCGGGTTGCTTCAGGCTAGGAGTTTGAGACCAGCCTGGCCAACATAGTGAAACACGGTCTGTACTAAAAACAAAAAAAATGTTTTGTTTTTAGTATACTCGCTGGGCATGGTGGTGTATACCTGTGGTAACAGCTATTCAGGAGGCTGAGGCAGGAAGATCACTTGAATCCAAAAGGCGGAAGTTGCAATGAGCCAAGATCATGCCACTGCACTCCCAACTAGGCAAAAGAGAGACGCTGTGCCCCACAAAAAAAATTAGCCAGGTGCAGTGGACCATGACGGTCATCCCAGCTTCTGGGATGGCTTCTGGGAGACTGAGGCACGGGAATCATTTTAACCTGGGCAGTGGAGGTCACATTGAGCTGTCATACCACTGCACTCCAGCCTGGGAAACAGAGCAACACTGTCTCAGAAAAATCAAAAAATGAAATCCATACTGAGCTCATGAGCCGTATGTGGACCTCAGTCCATTTTTGGCCAGCCCCTGGCTTAGAGGAATGTTCTGAGAGGCAGGTCACCTGCCACATTCTACTGCCAGCTCACAGTGTGACCCCGAAGCCAGTTAGCTCACCTCCCTGGCTCTAGATTTTGTCTTACGGGAAACGAAGGGGTTAGATCTCAACTATGCCAAATACTGGGCCCTTCCCTTCCTTCTCATGCACACAGCAGACACCCACGGTCACTCATGGCATTCTTTCCCACTGAGTAACGTTCAAGCAGCCCTCCAGGTGAGCGCTGCCAGTGGACTGGAGTTGAGCAAGAAATGGCATCTCATTGCTCTTCGGTGACTCCACGTTCCCTAAGATCACTTCTAGCTCCAGTGCCCCTGCATTCTGCCTTGTACATCACATTCTTCTTACAACCTAGTCCCTTGACTTTACCAGGGTGTGTTGACAAACTGTCTCTTTTATGTCAAAAAAAAATTTTTTTTTGTATTTTTAGTAGAGATGGGGTTTCTCCATGTTGGTCAGACTGGTCTTGAACTCCCAACCTCAGATGATCCACCTGCCTCGGCTTCCCAAAGTGTCAAAGTGTTGAGATTACAGGCATGAGCCACCGTACCCAGCCTTTTTTTTT